TAATAACATTATAATTAAATAAAATTGTTTTGTTCTAAAGGTATGTATTTACCCCTATGTACCCAGACTTTGTGGACACCCTGTAGGCTCAGGAAGCCAACCCTGGGCCGACAAAAATGTACTCGATTTGACCGACCGTATGGCCGTCGTTGAAATATCATGTCAGCAACTGTTTGTGGTGATGCGGGAAGCACATTTCAGGTGCAAACACTTGATTCCGCTGGTCCGCCCATGGACCTTATCAGCTTTGGCATCATACATCAGTCTTCACTGAGGAAGCCACAAATGTAGACGATTTGACCGGCTGTATGGCGTCGTTGATGTATGAGGTCAGCAACTATTTGTGGTGGTGCTGAAAGCACGGGTTTGTGATAAATACTTGATTCTGATCATAATGATTCGGTTTGCTGACACTGGGTTTAGTTGCATTATCCACGACTGGGTGGGAAACCTCGACTTCTAAGTATATGTATGAGTAAAGGGGAAAGTTGGTCTAGCACCGAAAAAAACTTTTGCTACCTGATGTCTGCGAATACGGAATCAAAGTAAGCAGATCACATCTGCTACCTTGAAAATTTTGCTGTCCACAACATAATACCGCTACCCGTTCCGTCCACTCTACATGCACATAGACTCCTTTACCCCACAGCGGTCTCCTGTCCAACGAAAGCGTCAATCCAATCCGTCTACACAGGACGGGTATAGAGCTTTTGGACTGGACCTGGGCTCGGAATATGACCGCAAAAATATCCCGTACGTTAACTGTCACCTGATAAGCACGGCTACTGTTAGTGTATTGAAGAGGAATAGCACCGAGAAGGGGGCCGAGCTGTAGTTCGTTTAAAAAAACACTATTCGTGAAAAAGGGCTTCCGCAGGTAAAGTTAACGCTTTATGGAGCGGCTCCACGATGTGCAAGCTGGGAAATCAAACCGCATTCAATAGGTCTTGACGTAAGAAAATGTGGCGGACATTACCATAACAGCAGCCGTTCATCTTACAATGACCGCTAACCTGTACATGGGTGAATTTACAAATGTTCTAGAACTTCCGTTGCGTCAAAAACCTTCCAAGGGAACTAATCCTTCCAACCATCTATCTTACAGGCTTAACGAGGAAATCTCCAAAGACAGGGGGAATATGCAGGCGAGGGGCATGCGGCGAAACATACGACAGCAGAGACAGGATTCTATGCGGGGGTATGTCGAGCGTCACCAGACGGATTGGGCGACTAGGAGACCTGTGCATGCAAGGCATTAATGCACTGGAAAACAAGGGACCAATTTGGGGCAAAGTTGGGGAGTGGCAAATTTTTTACATAATACTCCAAACCAGGAGGGTTAAAGTGAAATCTGATCAGGGGTGGAAGGGGGCGCCGTTCATGCAAACAGGGCTTCCTCTTCAGGCGTCAGAAAGTCTAGATCCATGGCCCGTTTGGGCACGGGAGGCGTCTGCTTCTTCAGGGCGGACTTTAGGGCCGGCGCCTCGCTGGTCTCCATTGACTGCGCCCTCCTCGTCGTCGTGCCCGTCTCGCAGTTGAGCACCTTAGCGGCAGTCTGGCTATCGTAGGTCATCTTTGGGAAAATGCGCTTGTACAGCGGCATGAG